CTAGAGTAAGACCCGGGAATTCCGAAGGCGGGGTCGGGGACTGCCCGCGGGCGCAGGCCGGGTCCCTTCCTGGTCCGCATTACTGGCTGTCAAACAGCCGCGGAGCCCCGGCCCGAGCCGGAGCCCAAGGGTCCCGGACACCGCACAAGCCAGCGCTATTTGGAGAGACCACTCCGAGACTGCACCACGGGTAGATCCGACACTGGGCTGGGCAGGCTGGGAGGCTAGGTTTTCCTTCCACGGTCTCAGGGAGCTGTGTTTTATCCCATTAGAAACTGGGCAGCTGGGAGTTAGGTCCAGTTTTTTTGGAGAACATAGGCACCCATTTGCACTTCCTTTTGTGGGGGGGCAGGGTGACAGTGGAGTCACTTCCCACTGGGGTTCAAGCTAACTAGTTATGAGGGGTCGGCCGCAGAGCGAGGTGTGGGCGTGCAGGAGGGCTGGCTACTTTATTTGGATAAGCGTGGCTGCCAGAAAGAAGCTTTTCTGCAAATTACATTGAGGTGATGAGTTAGTCTTGCACAAAAGTAGGAGCTCCCCCTATATACAACTAGCTTGCAGTTCCCCAGAAGCTGCCTAATGGTGTGTTGCCTTGCACAGATTGAAGTCTCCTGGAACACTTTGCGGCCTGAGGTTCCGATTCATCCAAGGTGCCATAGGACGTGTTTGTTTTTGCACTGCCACGGAACCTTCCCCAAACTTAAAAGCTTTGAAGCATCTTGACAGCCAATTTTGCATCGCGTGCCTAGGATCCTTGAACTCTAAATTTGCACTGCTCCGGGACTGTGCTCCAAAGTTGAAATCGCACAAAGCATAGCTCAAGTTTGCACCAGGCAGAAAGTGAACACAGGCTACCGTACATGGCTCAGGAGTAGTAAAGGTGATGAATCCCTGAAGTGGAAGAGGTGGTGTGGAGTGGGCACTGCCCATGCTGCCCTGCTTCCAGCTGCTGAGAATTGGGGGCAACGGGGGCGGTGACCTCTACACTTTCCACCCTCCAAGCGGGGCTGGCTGTACCTATCGCTTGGGCCGCAGGGCCGACCTGTGTGATGTGGCCCTGCGGCCCCAACAGGAGCCTGGCCTCATCTCCGGAGTCCATGCGGAGCTGCACGCTGAGCGCCAGGGTGAGGACTGGAGAGTCAGTCTGGAGGATCGTAGCAGCCGAGGTGAGCAGGGAGCAGCAGTTCGGGGCCTGCCTCCTAAACTCCCTATCAGGTTTGATGTACAGGGTAGTCTGGACTGGTCTTTCCACCAGCATGGATGGTGTCAGCTCTCTGCAACTCTTTCTGGTCCCGTTTAACTCATACAGGGGCTGGGAGGTAGTTCCATAGCCTGGGGCAGCATCAGGGAAATATCAGTGGGGATGTTGTGGCCATCAGGAGACCCAAGTTCAGACAGTTTTCAGACTTGAGGAACCTTGTTCCTGTTAGGATATGTTGAATTATGTCTCAATAATATGGACATGACCTCCCTGATGCAATGGTCATTGCCAGCCTTAGGCCTGTCACTTCACTTCTCTCAATCTTAGTCTTCTTTTAGGTAATATGGAAGACTTTATTAAGTCTGTTTCGGAAGTGTGGGGATTAGATAGTTACCTGTATTCATATACTGCATCCTGTTGAACCAGGCACTGTTTTTTTGTTTTGTTTTTTAATTTATTTATCTTTAGAGGGGAAGGGAAGGAGAGAGAGAAACATCAATGTATGGTTGCCTTTCATGTGTCCCCTGCTGGGAACTGGCCTGCAACCCAGGCATGTGCCCTGACTGGGAACTGAACCGTGATTGTCTGGTTCGCAGGCCCGCGCTCAGTCCACTGAGCTACACCAGCCAGGGCCCAGGCACTGTTTTAAATGCATTGAATGTCCCCACTTTACAGATGAGGAAAATGAGGTACAAAAAAGTTAACTTGTTTAGGGTCAGAGCTAGTAAGTGGTAGAGTCAAGAGTGGAACCCAGAGTCTGAACTATGCTGAGTTGGAGCTGGACTAGTGACCATTACTGAGAACAAGACCTCAGAAGATTGGAGAATGGATCTATTCCCCCCATATGTCTGTCCTGTGGGAAGACATACACATCACATCGCATCTTATATCACCTGCTGAGGGACTTAGAATACAAACATTTGATGACAGGTGTCATGTGCCTATGTTCCCCAGAAAATCAGTCAGGGCTGGATTTCTCCACTCCTAACATTTGCTTTTGTCTTTCCTGTATCTATCTGGTGCCCCACTATCAACAGGGACTTTAGTCAACAATGTCCGACTCCCAAGGGGTCACAGGCTGGAATTGAGTGATGGTGACCTTCTGACCTTTGGCCCAGAAGGGCCCTCAGGAACCAGCCCCTCGGAGTTCTACTTCATGTTTCAGCAAGTCCGAGTAAAACCTCAAGATTTTGCTGCCATTACTATCCCACGAGCTATGGGAGGAGGAAGAATTGGAACTGGTTTCCGGCCCATTCTGCCCCCGCAGGGGGCTCCACAGCGCCCCCTCCTCACCCTGTCTCCTGCACCAAAAGCCACACTGATCCTCAACTCTATAGGGAGCCTCAGCAAGCTCCAGCCCCAGCCTCTCACCTTCTCCAGGAGTGGACCACAGAGCCTGCCTGCTTGCACTCCCTCTGGGGAAAGGGGGATCACCCCTTCTGCCCCAAACCCAAGAAATAGGAGGAAATCTGCTCACCGAGTGCTGACAGAATTGGATGATGAGAGCGACTCTCCTGAGAGCCCCCCACGGGTCCTTATAGAGCCCAGGAAGAAACTGTGTAGAGAAGACCCCACTGACACCCAGTGGGTAAGTAGAGATGGGTGTCTCAAATATTTCACTGCCTTTTGATTCTCTTAGAGTCAGGTTGGGAGGTGGCCCCCTGTTGGTAATGGAGATGGTCGGTGGACAGCAAGAATGATAAGACTTGGGTTAGCGCTACTAACCAGGTTCCCCATTAGTCAGGTCAATCTATCTGGGTTTACTTTATTGTCCAGGTAAAGCTCTAGGCTTCTCTGACAGGTTTTCAGTGACCCTGGCTTTTGTCACTCTTCAGAAATCAATCTTGGCATCCTCTGAAGCACCTAGTGAGCACCCACATGACTCCCCCTGCTGTTGGGGGAGGGGAGCCCTCTGCAGCCCCTTGCTGCCTATCCCAAGAGTGGCCTGGGTTCAGTATGATGGACGTGACATCTGGCTCCATATGGCCTGTGTTGGCTGCAAAATCCAGGCTGTCTGGGAGGCTGACTTCAGGTGCCCAGGGTGTCACATGGGTGTCCAGACCTAAGGCTCACCATCAAGGGGCCAGAGGACAGAGCTGGTACCTCCAGTCCAATGGGGGGGGGGCGGACACAGTGGAATGCCAGCAGGTCCTAAGTGCCTTCTTCTTCTCTTGTCTCCCCAGGAGGGAATGACTACAGGGCAGGGGTCCATTACTATGGATTCAAGGTCTGGAACAGGCCCTCATGGCAAAGGTGACAGAAGAGATGGTTTCCTGCCAAATATAATGCTGCCCTCAGGCAGTTGCCAGTGAGTTGGAAATTCCCACTATTCCAAATCATAGGTCCTGTCATGTACCCTAGAAAATCTGTGATCCAAGCACTCATCAGCTGCAGAGACCATCCATTCCTGGGAATATGTAAGCCCCAGAGCTGAACAAGTGAGTTCTCAACTTGGATGGCACCTAAGGCATTCTGGGCAAACCTAGGGCACAGCCCCCAAACTGTAATCCTACCACTTGACCATGTTTGTGGCCCGGCTTTTCAGAGGTTTGCTTTCATTTCCAAATAAAGAATGGGTCTTATGCTCCCTGCTTTCCATTTCTTGGGAAAATGGATTTGGAAAGGTTTATAAAATGTGAATTCTTAGGGGAAGGGGAAATGAACAGAAAAGGCAGAGAAATACAAAGCTGCTCACTGAAAAAAATGCAAATATATGTGGTGAGTTGGAGGTAGGAGATGGGAAAGAAGGAATTAATGGTTAATTAAGGATTCTAGTTTAAAAGAAAACATCTACTGCCCTTAAAATTAGGTGGTTGGGGTGTGGTCAGTTTCATGTTAGATGGCAGAACATTTACAAGTTTCACCAGTACAGGCCTACCTCCGAGATACTGCTGGTTCAGTTCCAGACCACTGCAAAATGAGGCATAAACTTTTTACTGGTGGAGGGTCTTGGCTTCAATTTGAAAAGATCCATCTGTAGCCCTGGATGGTTTAGCTCAATGGATTGAGTGCGGGCTGTGAACCAAAGGGTTGCCAGTTTGATTCCCAGTGAGGGCACATGCCTGGGTTGCAGGCCAGGTCTCCAATAGGGGGCACACAACAGCCAACTACACATTGGTGTTTCTCTCCCTCTCTTCCTCCCCTCTAAAAATAATAAAATCTTTTAAAAAAGAAAAAAAAAACAAGATGGAGAGTTTCTAGTTGGGGCTCTATGCAGAAGAAAATAAGTATCTAAAGACTTCATTTCTTAGTGTAACGCCACTGAGGCCATCCATAGTGTGGGGAAAGCAATAAGCCAGCTCCTACTAGGGAATGGGCTACATAGTAACGACATCTGTGGGTGAAAATAAATTGTTCAACTCAAGTTCCCTGGGATCCCATGTCACAAGTTTTGAAGAACTAGCTCATGCCTCTAAGGTCCTCTACAAATAAACTTAGTTCCAGTCCCAGCTCTCCCTGACACTGTGTGACGTGAGGAGGAGGTTTGGCACTTTGGCTTCAGGGTCATTTGGGTCTGAGAGAAGTTACTATCCACTATTTGGGTACCTGCACACCCTTTCAGTAACTAGAGGATAAACCAAAGTATCCATCTACTGTGTCCCAGGGCTTCTTTATTTAAGATCAAAGTGATAAAAATGATGTGGGGATTAAAATCAAGAGCATCAAATCAATGAACTTCACCTTCCCTCCAACCAGTTTCCTAAACTCCCTGCCCCCACACCCTTTGTGTTCCTAATTCCATAGTGAAGAAAGAACTTAACCCTAAAGCCCTGGAACAACTCTCGGGATCCTTTCCCTGGCTCTCCCTCCTGTGGCAGGAAGGCAGGCACCTCAGTTTGAATGCATGGGAGAGCCCAGAGCAGTGACAGACACAGAGGGAAAGGCTTCACCCTCAGGGAAAGGGACTGAGGAGTACAGCGTAGTGAAGTGAGGGCCCACATAGCCTGGGGTACCAAAATGGGGCCCCGGTGCCAGAGGAAAGGATACGGGTCCCCCTGAGAAAGGAGGCCCAGAAGCCTCAAAATCCTCTCGTTGAGAATAGTCACTGCTTGATCGTTTGCCCTTCTGGCGACGGTTGCAGAACCACACTCGGACCACCTAGAAGTGGAAGACACAAGGGAGAGTGACTCAAACACTCCGGGAGGTGGGTCACTTGGCCCAAACCCAACAGATCCAGAGTGATGAGAGGGCAGGAGCCAGAGCTAGTGCGAGGGGGTGTGGCCTGGGGAGAACATGGAGCACTCCGGGACTAGAAGGGGACAGGCACTCACATCCTTCTCCAGCCCAAGTTGCTGGGCGATGTGGCTGATCTGCTGCAGGGTAGGCTTTGGGCACTGCAGGAACATGTTCTCCAGGTTGCCCCTCACTCGGTTCTCAATACTCGTTCGCTTTCTCTTCCGGGCCTGCACAAGGGTCTCCGCTTTGCATATCTGGGCAGGTGGAGAGCAGATGACAAGACAGGAGATGGGAGAGCAGGCTTCAAATCTGCTGAGCAGTAGCAGCACTAGGTCAGTGACTCAAGAGCAAATTGCTAAGGAGCACCGACTGTATGTGTCACCAGAGTCAGGTGGTATGCGAAAGAAGGGTTCTGCAAGGAAGAGCAGTTAGACCAGCAGCTCTGCACCTTGTCCCAGCAGCACTGAGGAATCACTCTCCACCCATGGAGAGATATGTCACCAAGAAGCAGAGCTGCCAGCGAGGGATGGAAGCAATGGACATGGGGCTGAGTCACAACAGTCTCCTGTGAATCCCACCCGCCCTCACCTCCTGCAGATTCTCATTGTTATCAGCTTCCTCCACCCACTTCTGTAGCAGGGGCCGCAGCTTACACATGTTCTTCAAACTGAGCTGCAGAGCCTCAAAGCGGCAGATGGTTGTTTGGCTGAACACCTTCCCTGGGGAAGTCAGTTGAAAGAGAACAAGGTGAGGTAGCAGGCCGGGCCCTCACCACCCCAAGACCCAGGTGTCACCATCTCTTCTCACCCTCATAAGGTCCCACTTCTTCCCAGAGAGAGTAAAAGGCCCAAGTATCTTTCCCCCTTACTCTCTACCCTCTTCATGCCTGAGGGTAGAGCCTGCCCCTGGAACAATTATCCCCTCACTCCCTTGGTAGAAAAAGCCCAGGTTCAGGAATATTCTTTCCAGGGGAGAAGTGGTCCCTGTGTTCTATGGGTCAGAACATGCTGAGGGGGACCCACCAAAGAGAACGCCCAGAGTGAGCCCCACATCGGCCTGGGTATATCCCAGGGTGATCCTCTTCTGCTTCAGGAGCTTGGCAAATTGCTCAAGGTCTTTCTGCAGAGCTCTCATGTCCTAAGACAGCATTGAAAAAGGCAGAGAAAGTCTAAGAACACAAACACACCAACTGTTGGCCCCCCCTTCCCATCTGTGTCCCAAGGGGTGGTCTTTGGGAGTATCTCTGCATCCAGGCTGCCCGCCAAACATCTGAAACAACCTATCTCCAAACACCATTCACCCTAGAAAGCAACAAATCTATAGCTGCTGAGCACCATGCACAACAGGAAAACACCTGTCAGGTCACAAAGGGAGCTCCCGCTGGTCAGCTCATTTAATACAAAAGCTTTTTGACTGGACAGCCCTAGAGAAATAAAGAGCACCATGTCTGATTCTCATTTCAATATACTCACTCTCCCAGCTTACTTGCAGGGTCCCAGACTATGGCCTGGCATGTACACACACAAACACACTACAAAAAGTTACAGGTGTCATAAGATATGAACAAAGTGCTTTGTGTATAGTTAGTGCTCAGTTATTTAAAAAGCTGCTTATCTGGTTTTTTTCCTCAACCTTTTTGCAATATGGAAGCCACCTCATTGATTAATTCAACTGATTTATTCTATACCTCTGTAAGCCAGTGGATACACAAATAAGCCCTGGCCTGGGTGGGTGGAGATAGAAAACGGTATGAGGGGAATAAATGGTAATAAAAAATATACAATAAAATTTTTTTAATCCTAAGGAAAATAAATGTCCTGACCTCATGGAGCTTCCATTCTAATGTGGAGGAAAATAATTACTATCCACTGTGTCAGAGCATCATGAAAAATGAAACAGTAGACAATTACAGAGTACTGCAGGGTAGGACATCACAGGGAAGGTGACAATTTAAATAAGCTGGGGGTGGTGAATTTGAGCAAAGGAAAATTTGTCATGTGTAAGTATCTCAGGGTGGCAGATAAGATGGGCAGGTGCAAGGCCAGCGGGGCTGGAGCTGGGTGAGTGGGCTGAGGAAAGGAAAGGCGGGGAGCTATGAAATCAGAAGAGTGAGCAGGGCAGACCCTGCAGATGTTGCACTGAGTGAAATGATGTGACTCTCATATTTTAAGATATTCACTCTAGTTGACATAGTGACAAGAGACTAAGGAGGAAATGAGAGTATAATCAGAGAGAGAACTACAGTTTTCCAGACAGATAGTAGTGGCTAAAACTACAGTGGTAAGTATTGATTTGGGGGGGGGGGTGTTCAAGGTAAAGATAGTGGTGTTTCCAAAGGTGTGGAGGTAGGGAGATCAAGGAATGAGGGTGCCTGATTTGGGCCTTGAGCTAGTAGTAGGTGAGGTACAGTGATTCAGAAAGCCATCCCAGCAGGAGATGGAGAATTCGGCAGTCAAGTCTATGAACGAAGTCCCTGAGCGTACAGAGTGGATGAGAGGAAGGAAGATAAATAGAACACAGGTGAAGGACTGAGCCCTGGGGCACTCCTCCAGTAAAGGCCCAGGGAACCAGAAGAGTTAGGCCTTTGTGTGATCCTGAAAGCCTTCAGGGAAGTATTTCAAGGGTAATCAATCACATCAAGTTCAGATAGACTAACTTTTATTCCCAACTTCTGCTCAGCCAATGTTTCAAACCCATACATGTCCTCAGCTGTCTCCATCAGGGCTTTCCCAATCCTATTTTGGGGATTTGAAATAAGGTAAACCCCAGTTCAAATCCTAGCTTTGTCATTGAGCAGTTAAGACCTGTGAAATAGGCTAATAATACCTCCCTAGGAGATTCTGTGGCAGTTAATGAAATGATGTAGAAATTGAGCACACAGCCAGGTGCTTAGGAAATGGACCGCAATCGGCAGCCATTATTATTCAAGGCTCAGAAACGGCTTCCCGCAAGAGTCGAGGGCCGGTAGGTCAGCTGAAACCACTCACACCTCCTCTGCAGGCCTAAAGGCTTAGTACTTGATCTCTAATTGCTTACACTTGTTTCTTCAGTGGCCTGGAACATATACATCCTTAATAGTCCCCAGCAGGGCTGGACATGGAAGGAAGTCTTCAGTCCCTCAGCAAACTCTACATTTGGGGAACAGCCTGCAGATGAACTCTTCCACTTTCCTCCCCGTTCATCACTTAAGGAATTCGGCTGCACTCGGTACTTCCAACTCTAGGAGAGGGTGCTGGGTGTACACTGCATGATGGTGACTCACACCCGAGGCAGAGGCCACCAGGAGACAAGCCTTGAACTTGAGGGGAGGTAAAGCCACTCCACTGTCCACACACAACCCAAACAGGAGTTTCCATCAGAAACAAGTCACATCCTCAAATTTCAGGAACAATAACCCCAGGTTAAGCACCGCTTTTACCCTCAGGCCACGCTTACCCAGAGGCCAGGGTCTTGGGTCTGCTAGGGATCAAATTATCAAAAAGGGCTGGGGGTGGGAGAAGGGGATCAAACTCTAAACTGGGTCTCAGTGACCCGACCCTGGTCAGGCCTAGGAAGTGGAAGGAACATACTTGACAACGAAGGCCGGGCAGGAAGAAAGGCCAGCCTGGGCCAGCTCCTGACTCCCCGAAGCTACCCCTCCCCCCCCCCACCTCCCCACCCTCCCTTCATTCTCTCAGAACTCCGGCCTCAGTTCCCACCCTGCCCGTACTCTCAGGACGGCGATTTCCGCACACCTCCCCGTGCTCGGGGCTGCCCCTTCAGCCCCCTCTTGGGTTCCAGGCCTAGGCAGCTGCAGCCACCGCTTCCCCTCCTGGCCGCCCCTTCCCGCTCAGTCACCTCCCAGTCCCACTGCACCTCACTCGCCTCCTCCTCGGGGGTTGGCTCCAGCTTCTCTTTGTCCAGCTTCACGACCCCAGGCAGGGCAGCGCAGGGCTCAGGGGAGGCCCCCTCGGAGTTGCCCTCCACCCCGGCTCCCACCTCGACCTCGGGCTGGGGGTTCTCCAGGCTTCCTTGGGGCGCCAGCCCCACTCCAGCCTGAGGTCCACAGTAGGCCATACCCCCACAGAACTCATACGGCGTGGGGCACGGGGGAACCCCCCACATCTCCGCCCCAGGGCCAAGCCCCGGCCCGATTCCCGACCCGCCAGGAGGTCCCTGGAAGCTCAGCCAGGTCCGAGGGTCAACCCATCCTGGCTCCGACCCTCCTGGCCCATCGCCTCCACCACCCGGTGGGGGTGAGAAGGCGAAGTCGGAAGCCAGGTGCCCCGCCATGGTAAGGACGGCACCCCAAGCCGGGGGCCTGGTGAAAGGAAGGCTCTCCAAGGCACTGCTCAACACCTCTCCCCCTCCCCAATCCCACCCACTAGCCTTGACCTCTGGCCCCGCCCCCTGTGTGGGGGGAGGAAAGGGCGGTGGGGGTGGGAGAAACTGAGGCGGAGGGTGTTTGCCTGCCGGTCGTGGTGCTGTCGGTGGAAGGGGTGTGCCTGGGAGCCCCAATTAGGCGACTCTCCTGGCCCAGGCCCAAAGACCCTTGCTGCAGGTCCCCCATGTCCATGTTCTCTTCCAACTCCTTGCCGGGCTTCCCCGCCCTCTTTCCAGCTCTGCATACCTCAAAGCTCTCTGGGATCCCTCCACCTAGTCTCCATGTTCTTCAGGAGCCCAGGTGCTTGGCCCCGCTCAAAAGACCTTGGCACAGTCTCCTCACTGGGGCCCAACTCCTCAAACATTGTGTGTGCACCAAGTACTGCTGGGGCTACCCCTCAATTCCTCATCAGCCACCTGGTGCCCTTCCCCACCCCCAATCCAGGGACCCAGGCATTCCTCTTGATTACTGACCAGATTCCGTCACCCCAAAGCTGTGGAGGCCCAGTGCCCATTTCCTCATCCTGCTAAATTCCACTCCCTCTCCCCGGCAGACTGCCACACAAGGCCTCTCTTCCATACCCCCAGGCTTTCGCTCCACAGCCCCTTACCTCCCGGACTCAGGGACCGACCCCCACTTACCCTTCTAGGGGCCAGGCTCTGGATTGACTAGGCCTGAGTTCCTCAACCTTTGTCCAGACAGAGGGATTAGACGGCCCCTCACGGGGCCCATACAGCGGAACCCAGAGCCCAGGTTCCCTGCCCCTCCTTCAAGGACCCAAATATCTAGTACCTAGCTGGCTGTTCTCCCTCCCCCACAGGCCCAGCCCAAGCCTCCAGCCCTAGCCTGGGTGGAGAAAGCAAAGGAGGGAGGAGGGAGAAAAATATCTGACTTCAGGTTCAAAGAAGTTTGGGAGGGACTGGGGGAAGGGGGCAAGACAATGGCCTTGGCTGGACAATCCGGGTCCCCAGAGGGGGCAGCTCCAACCCTAAACAAGTACTCAAACCTTGAATGGACCTGGATAGCTCCCCTGGGGACAGCTTCCTGCTCCCCAACCCCCTAGCCCCAGTCCCCTCACACACAATCCCCCTCAGAGTGGCTAAAAGAGCTCCAGAAACCCACTCCAAATCCTCCTCAAAGACTGAGCTTCTGATCCATCCGCCCCCGCTGGGACCTAGGTATCCTGCCCACTTCCTCTGGTGATCTCTGGGGTGAAGCCTGACATCTACCCCACCCCCCAGCTTTGTTTAGGGGGACTTGGAGGTTAGATGCAGAGGAGGTGAGAGTAGTTTGGGGAGGTGGTGCAGGAAGCCTGCCCCAAAGCTCCCTTAGGGTCTGTTTTTCTGGGCTTGTCCTGAGGGTTCACACTGCCCACCTAGTGTATGATTCTGTTTACGAGAGAATAGCCTGTCTGAGAGGGAAGGATGACGTTTGTCGGCTCCCAAAACTTGCCTTAAATGGAGGCCCGGGGGTGAATAGGGGGGTGCCCCCCCCCCCATTCTGCATGGAAGGCCAGAATCCTGAGCCTGGGACACTCACTTCTGCTGACTTCAGGCATCTCTTCCAGCCCTGTTTGGAGTTGTTGGCTGGGGTCATCGGCCAGGGTCTGCCTTCTGAGGGGCTGGGGATCCCGGGAGCGCCATCCTGACTGGGCAGCTGTCTTCACCTTGGAGGCAGCTGTGAGGTTTCTCAGCACATTATCTTCCTCTGAGTCTATGTCCATCTGTATGTACCTTTTGGACAATGAACTGTATTTATGCATTTCAACACTTCCCAAAGGTCTGCTGGGAGAGCTATACGGAAGTGGGACCAGAGTTATATTCACCCCTAAGCCACTAACTGCCCAAAAGGATAGGTCTAGGGGCCTGGTGAGGGGTGGAGAGACTTCTTTGGAGCAGGAGGGGCCCCTCCCCAGCCATCTCCCCAAAGCCCAAGACAAAGCCTTCACAGCACCTTTGTCTTGCCTGCATCTGTCTGCCAAGGAGATGTCCTCTCTGAGGAGAGGGAGAAGGCCCAGGACATGCCCAAACCCTCTGTACCCAGGCTCCTCAGCTTGCCGAGTTCTAGGATCCCAGAAAACCCTCTTTCCAGGCCAGTCCAGTTCCCCACTCAACACTACCCTCTTGTTTTTAGATAACAGCCTGTAGCTGCTCTACATGGTATGTTTCTGGCCTGGAAAACAGCCTTTTTCCAGAGAGTGAGCTGGAGGAAGGGTGGGTCCCCAGTACTTGACTGGCTTATGGCCCGACATTTGAGCTGGATCATCCCTGTGCTTGCCTGGAGCCTGACCCAGAACCATAATGATAAGGTTGTCTGGAGTCCTGGCTGGCCCTCCAGCAATGCTCTGGGCTGACAAGGCGGAGATGTGCTCCACTCCCCTTCCCACCCTCCAGTTAGGCCTGCAGGGTAGGCGGCTTCACTTCTACCAGGGGCTCCCGTAGGTCCCACCCAATGCAGCGGGTCTAGAGGAGACTGGAAGCAGGGCTGAATTGTCAGACCTGGTTCTCCTGGCTCTCCTGCTCTTAAAGTCACTAAAAAACCTCAAATCCTGAAGCCAGTGTGGGGTTGGGCTCACAGACTCTCCACATACACTTGACTGCCTTGTAGAGTCCAGGCCCTTCACAGAGACAAATGCGAGTCTATGTTTGGTTACAGGGCAGCCAGGAGGGGCAGTTGTCAATCCCAGGTGTGACAACGGCATGATGCAAAGGAGTGGGGGTGGCCTTGATGCTGTCAGCCAGCTACCCCTTGCTGGGGCATAGGGATGCTGTCTGGTTGGAAAAAGCAGCTGAAAGGGCTTAGATAAGGACCAACAAAGATTTGTTCTGTACCAGGGTAGCAAACCACTAATTCTGCCTTCTGGGTTCTGTCAAGCTGAAGGCAGAAGAAAGGGTAAAAATGGATGACTAAGGAAAGAAGGGTTCAGGCTGTGGACCCCACAGAGGTTTCATTTGATGTGAACCTCAGGAAGAATTATCTTCTGAGATATATTCCCCATGGTTAATGTAAGGCCCAAATTTTGTAAATAACATGAACCTAGTGGCCATCCGTTGACAGGGGCTCCTCACATTCCGGGAAAAACCTCAGACTGAACTCTCCACACTATGCCCTGATGTTCACAGAGCCTGAGCCAAATACTGCTGGGAAACCCTGGTCATCTTTCTACCAATAGACTGGAATTGCCCCATCCAATCAGAACTATATCCTCATTTGCTTCTATACTAACCAATCGAAACAGTCCAATTTGGAAACCTCGTTTACATGAAACAGACCAAAATGGGAACTGTGAGCAAGAAGATTCTGTATAAAAGGTGGCCTCCCCTTTGTCTTGGAGTGCAGTATAGGTTACTATATGAATCTGTTTTTCAGAGCTGCAGCTCTTTTTCTCAAATAAATTACTTTATTCCCTATCACAGCCTAAGATTAATTTAGGCCAATGAGGGCTTACCCACTTTGGGTAATTATTTTCTTTTATTTCAATTTACATATATTCCACTGCTTCCTGTAAACCAGAGCCCCTCTTCTCAACAGTTGACCCATGAAGTCTGCAAAGTAAGTCTTCTTTTCTTAATTCCAGATACACTACCTCAAATAGAGGTAGCTTACAGCTCTTTGGTTGCCCCCTATGGGAAGATACAGGCAAGAGGTATGGTGGGGTAGCCAGAAGGGGAGAAGGGGTTAGGAATAAATCCAGGGTCTGTAGAGCTGATTTCTAGGCCTGCCTCTGACTTTTTAGCTGATGTACCTCCCCCTTCTGCACCTCAGTTTCCTCATCTAATCAAGAGGAACTAGACTAAACAAACCCTCAATTTCCTTCCAGCCCACACGTAAAATTATTGCCCATTCCCATGCACTGTCTTGCCGGCCCTTAGCACTTATTTGACATAAGAATATAGATTCTCTGTACAGAGAAATTGGGTTTGGATGGATAGAAAAAGAGGGACTCAGGGACAGTCTGCGTAGGCCTCTTGGCACCCCCTTCAGCCTCCAAGCATCTTTCCCAAGAAATCTGGCAGGTTTTCCTCTCAAGTTTGGTTAAGATATGTGTGAGAGGCTTGGCAGGCCAGTTTTGACTTGGTTTTCAGTGCTTGGGAGCTTACAAGAAACACACTTCAGGAGGTAAAACTTCTCATGGAAAAAAGAGAGGTGTATATTGAGGAAGAGACCACCCAGGCCAAAGGCAAGAGAGGAACAGAAGTGCTAACTTGCTCCCTCCTCTTTCGCATGCCATCTGTTGCTCTCCACATTGCCACTCTGAGGCCTCAGCCTCCCAGAGAGACACCAGATGGTCCTTCGGGTCACTTCCAACTCTACAGTTCTGAACATACCAGCTAGCCTGCCCTTCTCCCACTTCTTCCAGAGTAAGGTGCCTGCCTGCAGCTCACCCTCCCTTGCCTTTCCCTGTGTCACAGGTGGGCATAAGTAACCAGGTTCTTGGTGATCATGGACAAAGAATTGAACCAAACACACAGAGAGTTTATAGCAGAGAGAGAGATTTGTTAAGGGGTAATACACTTCACAGAACACGGGAGCAGGCCAGCTCTGAGCAGAGATTGACCTCAGGGGCTGGAGGGATTCTATTCTTATAGGGTGGGTCTTTCCTGGCTAGTTTTGGCAGGCTTCTATTGCACATGTACAAGTAGTTGTATTACTTTAAAGCTACTGTGCATGTGTCTCCTATGATTTTCCTTGATTGGCCACTGGGGAAGGGAGACACACAATGTTAATTTATTATAATGCTATTATAACGAAGCAGGGGTCATGTAGCATCTTCTACACAGGTGCATTCATGAGTCATCATGATTCAGCACTTTTTCAGAAGGTGGGAACAACCGGTCTTAGAACAGGGTCTCTGTCCTATATTGATCTCCTTTATCTTAGCCCTCGGTCACCTCTGGAATTCTCCCCT